AGCTAATACCCTAACCATTCTTTACCAGTAAAACCAACAAGCAGAATGATCAGATGACTTTAGAAGAAGACTTTAGATATATTAAACAAGTGCTAATATAGTGAGTATTGATGTACAGAGTTACAAGTTACAGATAACTTAGATTAGTTAGCAATTGCCACTTGTAACTAATTGTGGCTTCTAATTTTCAACAGAAAAAAAATCAACTGCATAATTATGAAGAGCTTGACAAGATAAAATTAATTAATTGTGTCATTGATTTAAAATGTATTTTAGTTCCACGCTAGTCTAGTGTATTTCTTGGCTACAGAGTTGCACAATTGCTCTGTTGAATCTTCAGAGCATTTTGAAAATTTCCATCATTCCTAGGTGAGTGAATTCTTAGGAATCGTTTAGCCTTTGGTTCGAATCTTACCTTGGATTTGAACTCTCGTGACTTACTTAGGGTGTGTCACGTGGGGCTGCAACATATCCCTCGGTTTGGTGTGTCGACTCGGATCGAAAGTGGTTCAAATCGCGGCATATTTTGGATTACAAAAAAAAAAAAAAAAATTTTTTGTTGAGCTGAAGAACCAAAAAAATAAATCTATTGTAAACCGATATTGTCATTATTTTGACAATTTATTATAATCTTTCGTAAAAGGTTTCATTCGTGATTTTTTTATTGCAAATATTCTAAATTGTTCACACCAGTCTAGATTCGGGATTATTTACAGATATTCAAAATTACTATTACTTGCAAATACTTAGTTTTAGTTATCATTGCGTGGCTTACAAACATTAATGTCCCATGAAAATTAGACCTATAGCCGGCAAGAGTTGTATTCTTGACTATATACACGAATAAGTCACAAGTAATGGATTGCAGATCCATTTTTTTTTTTTTTGGGTCAAAGTCTCTTGCTGAAAATAAAATTAAAAAAAGAATTGTAGAAATATACTTACCTCATGGAAATATCAAAGGTCCCTCGCACATAAAAAAGTCCAATTAAATGCCAAATCGGGTCACTCGGGAGTTGGGGCCACTTATTGGAGAAACGTTTTTCGCCGTTGTTGACTATTTCTTCCTTCGCTTCTTCCTGAACCCTTCCTCGTCCACAGGGGACACGACAGTGGTGACTGTCCCCCCTAACTTTTAAGAAATCATATTTGTTACCCACAATATTTTATAGAATTTTGCTTTAATTTCTAATTTTGCCCCCTTCAAAAATTTTTTATAACTCTAGTGTCCCACCTCCACCTGTTCCTTTTCTTTAAACTTATCTTTGATTGATTGTTATGGTAAATGGTATTATTAATTTGCCGATAGAGAATTATTACTCTTTAATCATGTGTCTCATCTTACTATAAGATATATCATTTTTATACTTTCACATGTAGCACTATTTTATAGGTGTAATCTCTGAACTTTTTTTTTTCTTCTTGCCTACAAAAGTACTCCATTTATTTGTTCTATCAATTTATGTTTACAACAGTCATTTGTAGTATTAAAAATTAAAACTTTTACTACTTAATTAACATTTTAAGTATAAAAGGCTACACATTTTCTACCCTAAAACTACTTAAACTTGATGTATTTATAACTAAATATGCCCTCCCTCCCCCCCCCCCCCCCCCCTCCACCTTCTCCTGCAAAATCCTGACTCTGCCACTACTCATCATCAACATTTTCTTTGGCTTCACAAAGAACTATCATTTTCTTGAAACCAAAGGTTGTAATAACAAGGTCCCACATTAAGGATGAGTAGTTAAAATTACTTTTTTAGTGTGGACGAATTCTGGGGATACAACTATGGAGATTGAGAAGACAATGACTATAACTGCTACTATATAAATTATCACAAAAAAGGGGTCCATTGAAAGCTTTTGGACGAACTGCTCATATTTCGAAAATATTAGAACTAATTTTTATTAATATTGGAAGCTACTAGCCATGATATATCACAATTTTAGTTGTTAGATTAACATGACAACAATCATTCTCAAAGCAATTTCCTGACAGATTCAAAACACAACTCATGCTACAGCTCAGGCAGGCGTAGACTTGACTCCAAACCATTTATCTATACAGAGAAAACTGCTCTTCCATCAAACCTGAAAACTCATCAGAAGAAAAAGAAAAAATGGAAATCTTGAGATTGGTCATAGTGGCCATTAGCTTTTCTTCTCTACTAAGCCCTGCAATCTTTGCGGACAACGTCTCAATTGCACCTGCAGCAGCACCACCAGACGATGTCTGTGCAGAGAAAAGATGTAGCCCCTACGGTCCGGCCGTAAGATTCCCATTTCTGCTACGAGGAAAGCAGCCTGAAGAGTGTGGCTACAATAATCCAGGGTACAATCTTTATTGTGACAGCGGAAACCATACCTCACTTGAGTTTCCCCCTTCATCAATGAAATTTGTGGTCAAAAGCATCAACTATAAGACTCAAATGATCCAAGTCCAGTTTGCTGAAGGTTGCCAACTCAAGTATCTGAGAAATCTACCCCGTTTCAGTTTTCTGCACCAGACTACATGATAGATCGATATTTGTTCATGATAGATCGATATACTTTGTTCAATTGCTCATTGGCAAATGGTGATACTTGGTCTTCCGATGATGGATATGACTTTCGTTGTCTAGACACCCCTGGATACAAAGTGCGTGCAACGCCTTCTCATACTGAAATTCGGTTTTTGTCTGTGGAATTATGCACAAAGATGTATGACACAAATTTGGTTTCGGGGGAACTATTTCGAATGCGAGACTCACTGAACCTGGCCTGGTCCTTGTCTGCATGCAAAAAATGTGAGGTACGAGAAGGTGGAATTTGCAGATGGAAGAATGGAACTAACAATAAATTTGACTGCTTTGGAGGAAAGAATCTCGACCCTGGTACCATTTACTGCTCCTTCCTGGTCCATTTCTTGATGTTTCTCATTGAAGTACTTCAGATAGACTAATTGACTAAAGATTCAGACTAATTGAAAAGGATAAATTTAAAGAAAGGTATCATGTTGCTATACCCTTCCCTGTTTTCTGAACTTACCCAATTTGGTTACTGTGTATTGATAAAATGGACCAAAAGCACGAATACTACTAGGAACATATGTAAGAGGCCACAATAAACAGAAAGAAAGAAAGAAGAGAGAGAGAGAATTCACGAACAATACTTGACTGTTGTACATAGATGTCTTTTTGACATTTGCTAGTATGTTACAGGTGTATCGAAGAAATTACTCATTTCAGGTGAGAATCTTGCTGTACATTTTTCTCAGTTAATTTTTCTAGTATAGAGAAAAGAAAAAGTAAAATTGACATGTGCCTTTAACAACAGGTCCAATCGTGGGGTGTTTCTTTCTCATATTAGCGACCCTTTACAATGTCTATAAAACAAAGAAAATGGACAGAGAAAATCAGAAGAGAATCAGAACATTTTTGGAGGACTACGCTGCCATGAAGCCTACTCGATATTCCTATGCTGATATCAAGAGGATCACAAACGACTTCAAGGATAAATTAGGTGAAGGAGGCTATGGAAATGTGTTCAAAGGCAAAATTTCAAATGAAATATTTGTTGCCGTGAAGCTGCTGCACAATTCCACAGGAAATGGGGAAGAGTTTATCAATGAAGTAGGAACAATGGGCACAATCCACCATGTAAATGTTGTCCGCTTGGTAGGCTTCTGTGCTGATGGATTCAAAAGAGCTCTTGTTTATGAATTTTTGCCAAACGGTTCCCTGGACAAGTTCATATTTCCGGAAGGTCAAGAGCATCATAACCTTGGAATGGAGAAGTTACAAAACATTGCATTTGGCATTGCGCGAGGTATCGAGTACCTTCACCAAGGATGTGAGCAGAGGATCCTCCATTTCGATATCAAACCACATAACATCTTGCTTGACAACAACTTTAACCCGAAAATATCTGATTTTGGGTTATCCAAGCTTTGTGAAAAGGGAAGAAGTGCAGTTTCAATGACTGCTGCAAGAGGAACCATGGGCTACATTGCCCCTGAAGTCTTCTCAAGGCACTTTGGCAATGTGTCTTACAAATCAGATATCTATAGTTTTGGGATGCTGTTGCTTGAAATGGTTGGACGACGGAAGAACATTGATGCCAATGTGCAAAATGTTAGCCAAGTGTACTATCCCGAATGGGTTTACGGACAGTTGGTTCAAGGGGAAGACTTGTGAATCCAAATTGAGGAAGATGGAGAGGATGTCATTGCCAAAAAATTGGCAATTGTGGGACTTTGGTGCATTCAGTGGAACCCTGTGGATCGTCCTTCCATAACCTTCGTTCTTCAGATGCTTGAAGGAAATGGAGAAAGTCCGAGTCTTCCCCCAAGTCCTTTTACCTCAACAGATCCCATGAATCCAAGCAATCCAAGCTTGCATAGAAGACATTTGGCTTCAGGATTGGCAGTGATCTCTGAGTTAGAATAAGATGCTAAAGGTTAATTTCGATTGAAAGTCTTGTGTATTAGTAGCTTCCACTTTTCTGCAAATACAAGAAACAAAAAGAAGAAATTGATGAATAAAGTAGAGGTAATCAATGATATTTTTTTGCATAGGTAAACTATTATTGACTCTGATGATTAAACTACCTCTACTTATGTGGGTTAATAGTTGTTACTAAATTCTATGATGCCTCTTAAAACAGTTGAATTTTTCAACACAAGGCAAAACCATGGCTTGAATAACTGAACCATAAGAGAGAAGGAACAGTAGACCATTGAGCATTCAGCATCCAGGAAATGTCTTATTGGGCCCATTGATGAAAATGAAAGAACAAGGCTACAAGTCTATGTCAAACTAACAAGTCGGCCAGTAACACCAACAAATTATTGGAGCTATATTTACATATGACGAATCCCCGAAGGTGTTAACTTTCAGTTTTACTGGTACCAAATGAGTTATTCAATTTGCTTTTTCAACTGGTACTAGGTGGCAGATTTAAGAGTTTGAAAAACAAATCTGAAATACAAAGCTTCCACTAAAAGTTAGGAGTACTTCTTAGTCATCCAACTGCTCTATTTCTAAAGCAATAGAGCTACACAGTGTTACTGTTGACTCATCAGAAGAGCTAATATTACTGCTTCCTTGCATGGATATGGGTGAATCTGGAGAGTAAAACAACAGTCTGTGGGGCAACTTTAGGCCACTAAGATCACCTTCAAGCATTTCTAAGACTTCTCTCATTAAAGGGCAATCCTCAGGTGTCATTTGTGTGCACCATAATGCAATCAAAATCAATCTTCTACTAATTGACTTTTCTTCTTCAGTTGCATGATCTCCAATTTCCAATTCCTCCCCTCTGTCGAATTTATCGTATATCCAGGACGGGAAGTATATTTGACTTGAATGTTCTACATGTCCATTACCATTTCTCCTCCTTCCTGCTATCTCCATTAGCAACATTCCATAGCTGTAAACATCTGCCTTGTCTGAGACTCTTCCAATCTTTTTGTAGAACAATTCCGGAGCCATGTAACCTAATGTTCCTCTGACAGCTGTAAGACTTGAAAAACTCTTTTGCATTGGGTAAAGTTTTGCGAGTCCAAAGTCTGCAACTTTTGGAACAAAGTTCTCATCAAGCAAGATGTTATGTGGCTTAATATCAAAATGCAGAATTTGCATATTGCACCCCTGATGCAAGTATTCCATCCCACGAGCAACTCCTTTTGCAATCTCACAAGTTTGCTTCCAACTGAATGGATGACCATTTTGACTATCTGAGAAAATTAACTTATCCAGAGAGCCATTTGGCATGTAATCATATACTAGGGCATGTGTCGAGGGAGCAACACAAAATCCTACCAACCGAACCACGTTCACATGGTGAATTTGTCCAATAGTTGCAACTTCATTAATGAACTCTTGCCCATCAGCTTTTGATTTGTTCAGCATCTTGACAGCAACTACATCTCCACTCCGCAGTTTTCCTTTGTAAACCAAACCATAGCCTCCTTCACCTAATTTCTCCTTAAAGTTGTTGGTCATTGCCCTTATGTGTTTGTATGAATACCTAATGGGTATGAGGCCGTTTTTTGTTTGTAGGAAATCTTCTATTGTATCATACCTGGATAAATGCCTCCGATGACACCTATAAAGGAGAAAAGCACACAAGAGGGCAATGCCAATGACACTTTTTGCTGCAATGAGCAGAACTGAAATAGAAGAAGAAAGCAGCATTTATCAGTGATTTACTCTGTATCATACACCCAATAGTGAGTTATCAACTATAAATCAAATGCCTTACCAAAAAATTTGACAGCAAAACCCACGCCAGCTGCTTATTACAAAAATTCAAAAGGATTATTAAGGAAAAATTGAAACGGAAAGGATGAGACTGACTGAAAAAATCATTTCTGTATATTTTAAGAATAAGTGACTCACTCCCAAACTTGACATGATTGTAGAATGGTGCTACCAGAAGACCTGCATTGTCCAGGAACAAAGATCAAGATTAATGTCCAATTGCATTCTTGAACTTCAACTTTTAACAGAGCTTCAAATGCTAGAAGAAAAAATTCAATGCACATTAATCAATTGTACAATTTTCAAATCGAGAGGAAAATCTCAGAGATCCTAAATTTACACCTTCACAATCTAAATCAACACCGTCAATGCATTAATCAAGTGCACTATGATAGTAAGACTTGTATAAAGTGAGAAAGATAGAGAAGATTGGATTTGGCTTTTGAGATCAACAGCAGAACTACTATAATTGTTAGCCTACAAATATACCACTCCATTTCCTAACTTAAATCTTTCAAGATACGGTAACTTGTCATTAAATTCCCAAAAACATAGTTTCATTCAGTAGAATTTAATACTTTCCAAGAGATCATCGTAACCAATTATCAATCACCGAAATGGACAACCTTCAACCTTTCTGGGTAAGTAAGAATTTATTAATACCCAAGAAGAAAGTAACATACAAGGCAGGTCTGCAAAGTTAGTGTACTTACAAAGAATTGATCTCCGCAGTGTCGACCTTGTTGACAAACTGAGCTCAAACCCATTAGCCAGAGCATTGTGGATGTCTTGAAACGAAATATCTCCTGTTACCTTAGGTAGACACCGAAGGTCTGCACGAACTATTTTATGGATTGTGCACGACTCTTCAATAGCGGATGCGACCACATTTTTACCAATCACAACATAGCTGTAATAATCAGATTGAGCATTCATTTTTGACAAATGATTTGCAGTGATATTACAAGAAGCAGTGTCTATATAAAGAGGAGATTTCGATTCCACTGGATTTTTACAGCTGAGAAAGACCAATTCACTGGTGTCGGGATCAATATCCACGAATCGTCCATAACGGATATCCCCAACTTGCTTTTCATAGGTGTATTCATCAAATGAGTAAATTGGAAGAGTAGAACAGTTGTCCTTTTGCACTCCAGGATCAAATATACGAAGTGTTTGTTTCCTGGAGTCAATGCTGTCTATATCTGCATAAAAGCGCTGTTCCTCCCCATCAACATCCGTTGTTAAGGGAAGTACTGTGCGATTATGGTCACAAGAGAACTCCAAAGCATCAGGGCACAAATCTGCATGATCACCTTTGAACTGAAACGGGCACTTTAAACTGACATCAGTGTCTCTGCAAGAAGATGGGCTATGGTCACAACCGGTGTGTTTGGAATTGAAGGTATGATAACCATTTGCGTAACAATGGCTATCGACAATAGTATCAAATCTGAATCGGGATACCAAAAAGTAAATCAAGATCAGGGACAACAAAACTACCAAAATCTGAACTTGCAACATGCTATTAATGGGTTGACTGAAAATAGCCGGATATGCAGAAGGTGCTGCTTGGCAAGTAAGGGTTTAGAGCAAATGAATGCACTTTAACTAAATTTTAACCTCCTTTCCCGGTAAAGATTTAAGGGAATCCAATCTAAACTTGACTGCTGCAGTTGTTTATTAAGAAAAACTTTTCCATTAACCTCAATTGACTTTGGACTAGCCACCCAATTTAGACTTTTCATTCTTCCATTTTCTTTTTTCATTTTTTTTAAGGGATTCCAATCTAAACTTCTGTTATGTGGAAGGCAGTCCAGTCTAGACTTTAGCACTTACTTGGTAGTTATTATCATTAAAATTTGCAGTTTATGAAAATTAAAAATCCCCTCCCCTGCTGGTTCCAGAAGGGAGGGGGGAAGGTTGTGGGGGAAGGGTGGAGGGGAGAGGAGGAAGAGGGAGGGAGGGAGGAGGAGGAAAGCGGGAGGAGAAGAGAGAGAGAGAGAGAGAGGGGAGCCCCCGCCGGCGGGGAGAGTTGGGTGTGGGCCGTGTGGCAGTGGGTAGGGAGGAAGGAAGGGAGAAGGAGGGAAAAAGAAAATGAAAAGAAAAAAGAAAATGAAAAGGAAAAGGAAAAGAAAAAGAAAAAAGAAAGTTCGTCTTTCCAACTCTCAAATATACAAAAATTAAAATTTTCTAGCGTAGAACAATAAGTTATCATAAAATTTTATATAAACACCTAAAATACACCATCCAAACACACCCTAACTTGCTCTTATGTCTATCAGGTTTTTCTTATCAAGAGTATAACTAGTTAAGAGTTTGTGGCATTTATAAATGTTCTTGAACGGTGTAAAACCTTCTTACCAAATAATTAATCATTATAGGTTATTTGTATAATTTTGTAACAGAGATGAAAAACTTCAATAGTGTTCATTTTGGAAATACATGCTAGTGGTATTAGAATTACGTGTTGTTACTTGGTTTGTACGTTTTAAATTTCATCTTATTGACAAAATAAGAATAAAATACAAAAAAATTAAAACAAAGTAGAAGATGCATAGAGTGCGTCTAGATAGTGTATTATTCAAAATAATTATTAAAATATTTTTTATGATGTTGATGTATGTGAGATAAAAACTTGGATGAAAATACAAAAAAAAAAAAAAAACTAGTTGGAAAGCATGTTTATGAGCAAACAAAATAATATATTTGAAAAAAATGAGAAATAACTTCCATAGCTATAAGAATGAGAAAGTTTTTAAAAAATCTAAAAAATAAGAATGAGAAAGTTAGGTAGCACCATTTTCTAAAGCAACAGAGTCACAATAGAAGAATTGTTACTGCATCCAGAACCCAAAAAAAAAAAATTAAAGAAAGGATGAAATCTAAGGCAGGTCACCAAGTTGTAATTCAAGATTAGGGACAACAAAGCTACCAAAATCTGAACGTGCAACATACTATTAATGATTGATCCGGTCAATGTTAAAAACTAAGGCTGAGCTCCGGAGTAAAGAACTAAAGTCAACAAACTCTTTTTTTGGCCTTTTTTGAGCGAACCCAATCTAAACTTGACTACATGTGTCATTTTTCTTATCTCCATCTATTCTTTTTGTTGAAATACACACCATTGTCAATTGAAGCAATTCAGATCGCAGGTCCAACTTTGGACTTTTCGTACTTGTAGGTATAGCTGTCAAACAAACCCATTTAGTTAAGTTTACGCATACTCGCCTATGAATAGATGTTTATGGGTATTTTAAATTTTTATATATAGGTATAAATGGGTATTATTAGGTAATCCATCAAATCCAATTAACTCATTTAGAATTATCTTCTCCCAAACCTCCTCTCTTCCCTCATCCATTTTTTTTTTCAAATTTTTCATTTTGTCATGATGTTAACTACTTTTGTTTCATTATTATTATTATTTGTTGGTTTTATCTTATCATTTTATTTTCTCTTAGTTTGTTAACTTGCTCATTTTTCAGCATTACCAATTTATGACAAGTTTTAGCCTCTTTTCTTACTTTTCCAAAATGAAATTTTAAATTTACACACAAAAAAAATGTAAGAGGTTCAAAATTTTTGGAGTAAATTTTTATGTTAACTTTTATAGTACTTAATTCAAATTTTTATATTCTTATTGTTTAATTATTAAATTGTATGTAATTTTACAACATAGAGTACAGATGAAAAAAATTGATAATTAGGTTTATTGAGCATTATAAATAAATATTTAAAACTAATGATGGCTGCAAAGGATGGTATAAATTGATAACTTAGTTTGCAAAAATGAATTTACAAAAAGTTAAATAAATGGATTATAAATGGGTAATTGGGTTGCCTAATTCATTTTTTGACTTACCTATTTATACCCATCTAATTAAATGGGTATAAATGGGTTGACTCACTTATACCCATTACCCATTTTACCCAATCCAAACCCACCCAAATCACTCATTTTGACACCTCTACTTGTAAGGCACTCTAATCTAGAATTTAGCACTGAAGTCGTTGCTATTATTATTATTATTATTGTTGTTGACAAAATCAAGTTGTTATACATTGTTATTTTTTTTTGGGGTCAACTCCTTTTGTTGTTATTGTTGTATTTAAAAAAAAGAAAAGAAAATTGTCCCCTTATTACCTCCATTTGTTTTGTTAGGTAAGGTATTCATTTTATTGATATGGCAAAGACAGAGCTTATTATGATTAGTGGCAAAAAGCCAAACCGGCAACACCGTCCAAAGTAAACTAATTGCAAACAACACCCAAAGTCACCAACTAAACAAACAGAATACTGACGGTAAGAATATAAGATCAAAATTCCATGCTATACTTTGTTAGTTTAATCTTCTTCCAAGAAGCTACCACCGCTCTAACCTCAGTGTTGATGGGTTGAAAGATGATAGGAGTAGCTTTTTCTTCCTTAGTGAAAATTCTCTTGTTTCTCTCTTCCAATATATGATAGACACAAGATGCAAGAGACGACCTGGCTATTTAATCAAGAAAATTTTTCCTAACATAAGTGTAATACTCATGACCACGTTTACTTTATTTCATGGGTTAATTAGTGAAGGTTATATAATCTTGGAGGTTTATGTGATTAAGTTTAGAAGTTGGGGGACTAATTAATAATTTGAGCAAGTTTTTATATCGGAAGAATTTTGAGTTGGACGTCACTTTACTCTTCCTAACTAGAGGTGTCAAAATAGGTGACTTGGACGGGTTTGGATTGGGTGAAATGGGTAATGGGTATAAGTGAGTCAACTCATTTATACCCATTTAATTAGATGGGTATAAATGGATAAGTCAAAAAATGAATTGGGTAACCCAATTACCCATTTAGAACCCATTTATTTTATTTTTTGTAAACTCATTTAAATTCATTTTTTAAGTTATCAATTTATACCACTCTTTGCACCCATCATTAGTTTTAAATATTTACTTATAATGTTCAATAAGCCTAATTATCATTTTTTTTCCTATCCGTACTCTATGTCGCAAAATTATATACTATTTAATAATTGAATAATAAGAATATAAAATTTTGAATTAAGTACTATAAAAATTAACATAAAAGCTTAATCCAAAAATTTTGAACCCCTAATATTTTTTTCATGTGTAAATTTAAAATTTCATTTTGGAAAGGTAGGAAAAGAGGCTAAAACTTATCATAAATTTGTAATGCTAAAAAATGAGTAAGTTAACAAACTAAGAGAAAATAAAATGATAAAATAAAATCAACAAATAATAATAATAATAATAATAATAAAACAAAAGTAGTTACCATCATAACAAAATGAAAATTTTGAAAAAAAAAAAGGGTGGGGGAAGAGAGGAGATTTGGGGGAAAACAATTTTAAATGTGTTACTTGGGATTGACGGGTTACCCAATAATACCCATTTAATAAATGGATATTATTAGGTAATCTATTTATACCCATATGCAAAAACTTAAAATACATATACTTATCTATTCATGGACGGGTATGGATAAATTTAATTAAACAAATTAATTTGCCACCTATATTTCTAACCCTTCCTACTATTTCTCTCCAAAAGAGTTAGAACAAATGACGTGCTTGGGGTTCACTCTTCTTTTTTTTTTTTAATGTAAGTCAGAGATTTCGAATTCGCGATATCTCATTTATACTTCTTCCCTAATATCACCCAATCCATTCGTTCTCCTAGGTACTTGAGGTTTCACTTTTGACGTCTCTAATGGGTCTTTTGCTTATTTGTTATTTTGTTGGCTATTTTAGTGGGACCATGAGATGATTTTAGAAATTTTGCGAGGAAATGATTAGTTGATAAAATACTATGATTTTTGTCCAAGCTTATTTTAGACTTGGAATCTTAATCAAAAGTGAAATAGGAAAATGAGTGAAAATCTTGAAATTTGGATGAATTCTTATTAATACTTTGAGATGGCCGCTTTGAGGATGTAAGTCCCACAGTTTGGAGCTTGGTGATGGGCTCCAGTGTCAGGCCGATTCGTTCCTAGTTCCAATTTCTTCATTTCCCTGTTCTAGGTCCGAAAATATTTCTTGTGCTCTTGTCAGTACGGGACTGAATTGTAATTGAAATATTGATAATTTACTCCATTATTAACAATTAGAAATTAAATTAGGCTCTCGCTTTCACAGGTACGAAAGACGTGTACCACAGGAATTACCTAAGTTAAGTTAGGTATTGATTCATTTTCACTAAGGTAAGCAGTTTTAGCACTCTCTAATGAATAAAATAGTTTTAAATGCTTATGTCAATATGAAATTCAGCATGAGTAGAGATACTTATAATTCTTTTGACATGTGAACTAATATGATAAGAATGTATATGAATATTTATGGAATTTAGATGCTACATTTGTTTCGCACTTTGAACTCAGGATTTCTTGTTTACTGTCATTAGAACTAATTAGTTCTGTATTTTTGTCTGTCTGATGTACCTAGCGGGAAATGCTGGCCTCGCTGCAGGGTAACAAAATGTCCCGATCACAAGGTACTTCGTGAGGGCAACAA